ATCTTTTCTCCATTGATAAGAATGCTGTTTATTGATCCAGTGGTGAGGATTTTTGTTTTCTTGACATTGAGATGTAATCCATATTGAAGGCTGTGCTCTTTGATCTTCATCAGTAAATGCTTGCTGAAAGTGAAGAGGACTTGTAGTAATAGAAGTCACCATAATTGTCCTCACTTTACATTTTTGTTGGTTTTTATTTGGTTCACCCAGTGCCTCTTCCACTGACCTCTTTGGGTCACAGTGACTTGGACAGGGAGGCCTTCACCAATACCACCTACAAAAATGACTCTAAGCTTTTCTTCACAACTCTGACAATCAGCTGTGCTTACTACACTGCCCTCATGTTGGCTACTTGGTTCCTGTGCCTTTCAAATATTAGATATCATTCAGTGTGTATCTTTATTATTTTTCCTTCAAATATGCTATTCTTGCTCAACTATATACCTATACGTATAAATGGGAAAAGTACTAAATACAAAAATTGAGGCCAAATATACTTCTAGAAAGGTCAGGAAAAGGCAACATGGCCAATGTTTGGTGAAGACTCCAGATTCTGTGGGCCATAATTTGGATTAAACTTCCCTGAATCAAAGCTTCCTTGTGAAGAAACCAGTGGGCAGGGCCAGGAGAGGAACTTCCTGGGGACAATTATGGAAAGAATCTAGGGAGTAATGACACTCAGCACACGTGACTTTTGGGAATGACGGCTTTCAAAAAGGTTTTCCTCTGAGTTATACTTGGTGCAAGGAGCTCTGGTAGCGTAAGTTTCAAACCTTAGGGACAGCAGTTCGAAGCTACCAGCTGCTCTGCGGGAGAAAGATGAGGCTTTCTGCTCCCGTAAAGATTTACAGCCTCGGAAACTCTGTACAGGGTTGCTATGGGTCGGAACCAACTTGATGGCACTTAACAACAACAACAACAATACTGGGTGCGTGCCTGTCCATCCTTGGCCAGCATCTTAGACATTCCTTTTATTTCTCACCTATATTAAGGATTATATATTCTGTATCTTACATCTTTCTCTTTCTTGTTTTATTCCCATTTTTTGGTGGACTGTCTCCTTCAATAGTTTCCTGACTAAGTGTGCATGGGAGGTAAAATTGTAAAGACTTCTTATGTCTAAAAGGTCCTTAAGTTTACCCTCACATTCTATGGATACTTTGCCTGGGTATAAAATTCTACATTGGATATTCCCCCCAGAATATTGAAGGAATTGCTACATTGTCATCTAGCGTACAGTGCTGTTGTCCAGAAGTCTTATGCTGGTTTGAATGAACAAGTCATTGGTCTTGCAAAATTCTATCATGTAATCTCCAGAATTGTTTCTAGCTCCAAATCCTTATTTTCCAATGACTGATCCTTCCCCTTTGTTTCACCAGTTGTTGTTGTTGTTAGGTGTCATAGAGTCAGTACTGATTCATAGCAACCCTATGCACAACAGAATGAAACACTGCCCAGTCCTGTGCCAACCTCACAATCATTGCTACACCTGAGCCCATTACTGCTGCCTCTGGGTCATAGTTGGGTATCTGCCTCTTTTTCTTCAAACCTCCACTTTACTAAGCATGATATCCTTCTCCAATGACTGGTCCCTCCTGACAATATGTCCAAAGTATGAGAGATGAAGTCTGGCCATCCTGACTTCCAAGTAGCACTCTGGCTTCACTTCTTCCAAATCAGATTTGTTTGTTCTTTAGGCAGCCCAGTGTACTTTGAATATTTTCCTCCAACACCATAACTCAAATGTATCAATTCTTTTGCAGTTTTCCTTATTCACTGTCCAACTTTCACATGCATATGAAGTTATAGAAAATACCATGGCTTGGGTCAGGTGCACCTTAGTCTTCAAACTCTCATCTTTTAAAGAGGTCTTGTGCAGTAGATTTGCCTAATGCAATATGGCATTTGATTTCTTGACTGCTGCTTCCATGAGTGTTGATGGTTGATCCGAGCAAAATGAAGTCTTTGACAATTTCCATCTTTTCTCCATTTATATGGGTGTTGTTTGTTGGTCCAGTGGTGAGGATTTTTGTTTTCTTTACATTGAGATGCAATCCATACCAAAGGCTGTGCTCTTTAATCTTCATCAGTATTTTCAGTGCTCTTCGCTTTCAGCAAGTAAGTTGTTAATGAGTCTTCCTCTAATACCGATGTTGTGGTTTTCTTCATATAATCTGACTTTTCAAGTTATTTGCTCCATATACAAATTGAATAAGTATGATGAAAGACTACAACCCTGGCACACACTTTTCCTAATTTTAAACCATTCAATGTTCCCTTGTTCTGTTTGAGCAACTGCCTCTTGGTCTGTGTACAGGTTCTTCATGAGCACAATTAAGTGTTCAGGAATAATCATACTTCGCAATGTTGTCCATAGCTTTTCATGATCCACATAATCGAAAGCCTCTGCGTAGTCACTAAAGCACAGGTAAACATCTTTGTGGTATTCTCTGCTTTCAGCCAAGATCCCTCAGACATCAGCAATGATATCTCTCATTCCACATCCTCTTCTGAATCTAGCTTGAGCCTCTAGAAGTTCTCTTTTAAAGTATGGCTACAGTCATTTCTGTATAACTTTTAGTAAAATTTTACTCACATGGGATATCAATGATATTGGCCGATGATTTCTGCATTCCATTGGATCACCTATCTTTGGAATGGGCACAAATACTGGATCTCTTCCAGTCAGTTGGCCAAGTAGCTGTCTTCCAAATTTCTTGCCACAGATGAGTGAGTGCTTCCAGTGCTGCATCAGTTTGTTGAAATATTTCCATTTGTATTCCATCAATTCCCAGTGCCTCGTTCTTTGCTAATGCCTTCAATGCACCTTGGACTTCTCCCTTCAGTATCATTGGTTCTTGATCATATGCTACCTCTTGAAATGGTTGAACATCAGTCATTTATTTTTGGTACAGTGACTCTGTGTATTGCTTTCATCTTCTTTTTGGTGCTTTTTGAATCATTCAATACTTTACCCAGATAATCCTTCAAATATCACACAAGATGAGGTTTGAATTATTTCTTCAGTTCCCTCAGCCTGAGAAGTGTTGAGCATGTTCTTCCCTTTTGGTTTTCTGATTCCAGATCTTTGCACATTTCCTTATAATATTTGACTTTATCTTCTTAAGCTGACCTTTGGACTTTTCTGTTCAACCCTTGTACCTCCTCACTTCTTCCATTGCTTTAGCATCTCTACACTGGAGGGCAAGTTTCAGAGTCTCTTCTGAC